TCTCTCTCTCTCTCTCTCTCTCTCTCTCTCTCTCTCTCTCCCCCTCCCTTGTCTTCTTCACCCATGTCTCCCCTCACACGAAGACCACCACCGTTCCCCGCTGACCATGTCCGCGCCCGAGCCCGGCCGGCTATGGGGGCTGGGCTATGGCGCTGCCACTTGCAGTGCCCTACTTTCTCACGACCGCGTTCGCATGCACAAGCACCTCCACTAGCGCACAGCAAGCAGCCCATGAGCGCACACTCCAGCAGCGCTGCCGCTTGCACAAGCAAGTGCCCGAATGCCCAATGCGCAGCCCGACACTTTCCTAAATGGAAAGTGGCGGGCTCGCTGCCTGCTGCTTGCCTCGTGGGACCGAGTTTCCAGTAGCTTCACTCAGTGGCTGCGCCTAGGGACAGTGGCCTGGGACCATTTGTGAAAAGAACCCAACTACCAGGCACATACGTGTGGTGTGCCTTGCTTTGTCTGCTTTCGCTCACATGTATTTTGCTGATTCTCACGAGCAGGGAGGACGTGACCAACTGGCGCGTGTCAACTGTCCGGCGCCCACCAAAGCTTTACAAATGACAAACTCAGGCCGCCTTGAAAATTCAGGGGCGCGCCTTCACTTACGGCGGGCACATGCTTGCTGTAAGGGCCTTCTGCAGGTATGCCGAGGGCTAAAATCATCGCACTCCCTCCTCCTTCAATAGTCCTCTGAGAAGTTTTATTCTGCTGCTTGCTTCCTCTTCAGAGCTCTTTCGTAGTTCGAAACAATCTGTGGAGCTTTCTTCTTCAACTCTTGTCTTGTGAACCACCAATCTTCTTTAGGATCAGTTTGATGTCTTTAGGATCAGTATGATGTCTGTGGTTTGGGGGGGCATCCCCTGCCTGGAGGCCTGGGCACAGGCATCAGCTTGTGTTCAACAATGTCGTCAATGTCCACGTGTCCATCCATGGTCGGGGGCAGCATTGATCTCCTGGAGGGAAACTGATCCGTTTCAGCGAAAGGAGCCGACTTGGATGCATGGAAAACGGGGTGTGTGCGGAGGTGATGTGGGATGTGAATGACATACGAGGGACCATTTGGTTGATCTCCGACTATATCCCAAACTTCCCAGGGTCTAAAATATTGTGGCATCAGCTTTTTGGGGATTCCCAATTCCTGCCCCAACTCAGATGATTTAACCCAGACCCGATCACCTACCTGAAATGCAGACGGCCGTTTGCACCTATTCTCATATGCCACCATGGCATCCTAAGACTTCTTTATGTACTTGACAGCCTGCTGTAGCAACTGTTCATACTTGACAGCATACTCTACGAGTCTATGCGGCCTGGTGCTGCAGTTGGCTGGTTCTCAGGCAACAGAAAGTCAAGAGCAAGATTATGGATATGGGGTCCGGGAGTGCTAGCGCCGTCCGGTAAGTGCTAATTCAATTCACTGCCCAAACTACCGCGTCTGCTCCCAAGCGAATTTTCATCCACCACGGAAAATTGCTACGCGCGCACCATCTCCTTTTTTGAACGCGAAGAGGAAAGGCGGGAAACGGAAGGCGAGATCACGCTACAGCTTCCCACGCCTTAAAGCGTGGCTACTCAGGGCAAGAGACAAGAAAGGAAGGGCAAAGACAGGGAGAGGAAGAAAGAAGAGGTGGGGAGCAATGAGCAAAAGGGGAGAGAGCAGTTCAACCAAGTCAAGGAAAAGACAGTCTAGAAGAAAAGGAGAAAGATAGCGAGTAAGTTTTCCCGACGAAGGGAAAAAGGGAAAGGGCAAGAAGAAAAAGCGTTTCAACTAGGGACAAGAAGAGACAGACGTAACCCCAGAATTTTGAATCCGAAATTGACGGGTGGGTGAGCAAGAGGCAGGAAGCAGGTCACCGCTCCAGGGAGTGGCACTCAAGTGCTTGGTGAAAGGAGAGAAGACACGACAGAGGAAAGAAAGAGTAAGGAAGTGACGGAAAAAGGAAACAGAGAAGGGAAAGACGACACAACTAAGAATAGGAAAGGACAAAAGCAAAGTTCAAAGAGGAAGGTGAGGGGCGAGCAAGATTTTCTAAACAAAGAAGGCAAGAAGGGAAGCAAGCGAAGAATGGAACATTCATCACGCATCGCGGGAGGGATAGAGAACAACAACCTACCTTTCATCACTTCAACAGTCAAGGTTTGAACAGTCCTCCTCAGGAAGAGAAGGTAAGAACAGCAGTCCCTTTTTTCAACCAAAGACGCAGCGCGCAAGAGACAGCAAAAGACAGCGCGAGGAGCAGTAGAGAGGGAAGCGGTTAGGAAGAGATAGGACAACATTTCCAAAGGACAAACTGTACTCAAGTAGATTCTGCTTCTTACATTGTCCCCATCCGAGTTTGGAGTCGAAACTTTGAAGAGTAAAATACGGACACTCGTAACCCACCACAGCCCGTAGAAAATCGATATACAGTAAATGACCGTATTTTAGCAGACTACGAACGTACGCCAATAACACCGCCTCCACACACACCCTAGCGCCACCCACGACACTGATAAGCACATCACCTACCTCCATAGGACAACGAACGTGACCACCCACCCACTCCCCTACGTGCGCTCACTACCTCCCCACAACCACGATTAAAGCCACTACCACCCCTCTATCACAAACGTATTCTTCTCCACACACCCTCATCATCACCCCACAGCACTCTCATCATCCACCCCAGACCAACCCCTAGCGAACGTAATTTCCTACCATTCCTACCACCCCTATCTCCCACACCTCGCCATCCTTATTCCCTCATCCCCACACTCTCGTTCGACAGTATACAAGACTCAACCCAAGCACATCAAAGCAATACCTCCGTTATCCTTCTTCCCCCCCCTATTCCCGCACACCATACGACTCCTCGACACTCTCCCATTCCCTCCCCCTCCCCCACATTTCGGACTCCCCACAGACCCAAACGATCTTCCCCGTCCCCCCCCCCACCCTCCCCCCACTCCCAAAGCTAACACAGCCCCCTCCTCCTGCAAATCGGATAAAGGAAGTGATTTCGAGAA